ATTCTATCAATTTTTCAAAAATATTTTTATATTATGATATAATGTTTACGAATTATATAGTACATTTACCCTTTCATTTATTTTTTCTAGGTAATTAAATTCTTATAATATATAAATTTATCATTTTTGTAATAAACATATTTGTTGAGTTTTAAAAAAAATTGAAAGAAAGTTGAACATACTAAATAAAAATAAAATCATAAAATATAATATTTTCTGAATTTTTGCTCGCGTTTTAATGTATACGTAATATGATTTTTAATGAATATCATAGTGAGTTTTTTAAATTAACCTTTATTTTATTATGAACACAACATCTTGTTAGTTTGGACAAAATAAAAAAATAATTAATTAGATAAAACTAAGATAGCTGAAACAGGAGAAGCTTTCCCCAAATTTCCCCTAAAATATTAGTATATTATGTTAATAAAATTAGATTTTGCATGATGATATTTACGAAATACATTACAGTGATTTCATATGATGGATCTGTTATTTGAATTCGTGATCTTCACCGGGCCTAATTTTTAAAGCCTTGTCTGGTCTTACTCTTAATTAAACCATCCTGCTAGATTTCTCGATTTTTTATTTATTTATCCCAAAAAATCAGATCAGAAAAATAACTTTTGACTGTTCGATTTGTCCCGAATTTATTTAAATATAAAAGTTAATATAATTTTCAAGATAGTTTTACATTTTTACAATGAACATAATAAAGGTTTAGATCATTCTACAAGCAAATGAAAAATATTGGCTTCTTGTTTCTTGCAAAATATGAATCTACTTTTGCAGATCTCGTTTTGTATTAATTTCTATTAGATGACAAAAAAACATATAAAATAACTTTAAATATTATTTTTTAAATAGATCAGGCGGTTATTATTTTAATTTATGATCTACAACATGCCCAAGATTAGAATTTCAATTCCGGCTCGATTCAAATTATTCTGTATGGCGTTTATTGTATTTTTTAACGTAGGACCTGTTTAATATCAATTGTTTTAATAAATAAAATAAAAAATTGTGACCTGCTAGATCCAATAGCCTAGAGAGTAGGGGGTTGCAAAAGAAAATTCTTCTCCTTAGGGAATTTACCTATTCTCGTTATTACTATTTGCTTGAATACAAGTATTCTTCTCTTCTCTTCTCTTCTCTTCTCTTCTCTTCTCTTCTCTTCTCTTCTCTCCTCTCCTCTTCAATTTTATTATTAAAACATTTTAAAATTAACTTTTTTAAAATATATAATTATTTTTAAAATAGAAAAAAAAACTAAAAGCTCAACATATTTACTGATAACTATATCATTTTAAAAGATTTTATTAATTTTTAAAAATTATTTTGATATTATGATATATTATATACAAAATATATTATACATTTACCATTTAATTTCCTTTTTTTCTAAAATTCTTACACTTGTTGTTTTAAAAAAAATAAAGAAAGACTAAATAAAAATAAAATCATATAATAAAAATAAAATGAAATATTTCTGAATTTTTGCTTAAATTTTTATTTTATACATAATATGAATATGATAAAATTAACCTTGCCATATAATTCGATAGATTTTTTTTTATTATGAACTGAACACCTTGTTAAGAAAAAAAAACATAGTTAAAAGTAAAATAAAATCACCGATAAAATCCCCTTAAATGTGCCAATGTCTCTATAAACCTGAGAAGCTTTCTTCGAGTATAGTTTATTCCCCCAAATTTCCCCTATGATATCGTGATGAATATTGCATATTAAATATTTTTTTTTATATATTTACGCATTAGAATATGGAATCCATAGTGGGATTCGTAATCACTGAATTTTAAAGCATTTACCCAAGATAAATTTATAAATTTAAAAAACTTGATTCGACTGGAATGTATTCCAGTTTAAATTAGGACAATGTTGTTTAAAAGCCTGATTTGGTTCGATTTAAAAACCCGATTAAGATTTTAGCCAAATAATATTATGTAAGCCTCGATATTTGGCAACTTTTCTGCCATCTTTCAACAATTTTAATTAGACATCTTAATGCTTTTAAAGGTCTTTTTAACAACACTAATATATAATACACACATTATGATTTTATCTTTTGGCCTCGAACTTTATATCTACTGTTTTTTAAATTAAACTAAACAAATTATTTTGAAAAAATTGTCTGAAATTTAAAGTGTTGATACTCTATGCATACATAAATACATCGATGACTTTTAATTTATAATTTAAATTTTAAAAGGAAATACTAAAGGAAAGTAAAGGTTAAAAATAACAAAATTAAAGTTAAAAGAAGAAAGAGAAAGAAGGAAGGAAGGAAGGAAGGAAGGAAGGAAGGAAGGAAAGGAAGGAAGGAAGGAAGGAAGGAAGGAAGGAAGGAAGGAAGGAAGGAAGAACATAGAGTATTTACAATTGTATCAAAGTTTTGAAGCCAAAGATTGAGATATTTTGATTCTAGTGTTGTTAAATGGCGAGATTTAAACCAATTAAATGGTTAACTCAATAATTTATCCTGAAAAATATTGTCTATTCAGAATCTTAAGAACAAAATCAGGAGACCCAAAAGAAGGCGTCTACTTACTTCAACGCATAGGAATTCAGATTATAAAATCTAATTTCACATGCTTCATAGGCTTATTCCCCGAGCAGCCCGATTAATCTAGATTTTCTTCTTCTTCCCTAAATCATTTAAGATTACCCTCCCCCCCCCCCTTTTCTTCCTCGTATTATCATCTGCACTAATTATATTCCCATTATTATACTTTGTATTATGAAGTCGTTGGTTGTTAAATTTCTTAAAGATTCTAGAATTGTTAAATTATATATTTTTCTTAAATTCCGTTATGTAAAAATTACTTATATTGTAATTATATATATTTATTATTTTCATAAATACAAGTATTTTTTTTAAAATGTATATTTACCCTAAATTAAATATTTTAATATACTAGATTTAATATATTTTTAAGCTGTACATGTAAACTATTTGTATAAATTGGATAAGTATTCTGTATTATTACTTTTATATTTGTATGCCAAATTTTTTTAATAAAATTAATTAAATATTAAAAAAAAAAAAAATTTATATAAATTATTTTTGAAATGTAAACAATAAAAATGCAAAATAATATCTCACAACCCCCCACCACCCCCATCCATCCACTTACTTTTACATTATATTAAAATGAATCTAAGAAAAATTTATATAAATTATTTTTGAAATGTAAACAATAAACAATCTAAAAAAATCTATTCCCCACTCTCCCTCCATTTTCTTGTATATTATATTAAAATGAATATAAGAAAAATTTATATAAATTATTTTTGAAATGTAAACAATAAACAATCTAAAAAAATCTATCCCCCAGTCTCCCTTCATTTTCTTGTATATTATATTAAAATGAATCTAAGAAAAATTTATATAAATTATTTTTGAAATGTAAACAATAAACAATCTAAAAAAATCTATCCCCCAGTCTCCCTTCATTTTCTTGTATATTATATTAAAATGAATCTAAGAAAAATTTATATAAATTATTTTTGAAATGTAAACAATAAACAATCTAAAAAAATCTATTCCCCACTCTCCCTCCATTTTCTTGTATATTATATTAAAATGAATCTAAGAAAAATTTATATAAATTATTTTGAAATGTAAACAATAAAAATGCAAAATAATATCTCACAACCCCCCACCACCCCCATCCCATCCACTTACTTTTACATTATATTAAAATGAATCAAGAAAAATTTATATAAATTATTTGAAATGTAAACAATAAACAATCTAAAAAATCTATCCCCCAGTCTCCCTCATTTTCTTGTATATTATATTAAAATGAATCTAAGAAAAATTTATATAATTATTTGAAATGTAAACAATAAACAATCTAAAAAAATCTATTCCCCACTCTCCCTCCATTTTCTTGTATATTATATTAAAATGAATATAAGAAAAATTTATATAAATTATTTTTGAAATGTAAACAATAAACAATCTAAAAAAATCTATCCCCCAGTCTCCCTTCATTTTCTTGTATATTATATTAAAATGAATCTAAGAAAAATTTATATAAATTATTTTTGAAATGTAAACAATAAAAATACAAAATAATATCTCACAATCCCCAATACCCCCATCCCTCCATTTTCTTGTACATTATATTAAAATGAATCTAAAAAAAATTTATCTAAATTATTTTTGAAATGTAAAAAATAAAAATTCTGATAAAATCTATAACCCCCAACTCCCTACTTTTTTATTTTCTCTTTCACAAATCATTTTCAGATTGAATACAAGGTTCGGTTCATCCGGTGGTAAATATTATTTTATTTTAATCATATTTATTTACAGATATAACTTACATTAAAGAAATTAAGCTTAAAATCAGCCATCACCCACCTTTAAAGTAATTAAATTATATTGTAGTTCTCGGGTATAGGCTTTTTCTTTGTCCCACTCCTTCTAAATTAAAGCCTATAGAGGTTTAAGCAACATTTTTCGAAATGTTGTGCCTACAAGTACGTGCGGCTTGCCCACAAACGTGTGGAGGGCTCCTCATATTTTTATTTTTATACCCAAATTAAATTGTTCCAATTAGATGGAAATGAGGAAAACCTAGCATAGCTCTGTTGAATCTTCAACGTTAGAGGGCAAAAGCGCTATATATCACGTATCACGTAATATAAAAATGAATCTAAGAACATTTATATTTTAAATGTATAATATCACTACACCCCCCCCCCCCTCCCCTCCATTACTTTTACATTAAATAAAAATGAATCTAAGAAACATTTATTATTTTTGAATATATACAATAAAAAGTAAATAAAATGTTAGTAATTTTAAAGGAAAAAATATTTATTTTTTTCTAATAGAAAAAAAAAAATTTTTTTTATAAACAAACTTAAATAATAAAAAAATAAAAATAATTCGTAAGAATATTGTAACTATAAATATTGGGTATTCAATCAAAATCCTATTTAAAAAAATTACTTTTTAAAAATCTTAACTCATTTTACTTGATTATTAAAATATTTAAAAGAAATAATATTTCAAAAATCTTTTTACTTAAATTTTTATTTTAAATGAACAACTTTATCATCCTTACACTAATAGTGGGCTCTTCTTTCTGCGAGTTTGATGGTGAGTATGATAATATTTTTATAAATATATATATACTGCTAAAATAAATTCAAAGTTAATTTTACTGGTGAATTAAGTTATTAATGGATAATATAGCTTATATAAAAAACTCTAATCATATTTTTAGTAGCCAAAATTATCAGAATTAGAATCTATTAACTTATTTCCAAATAAATTAATTGTTTATGTCATAGTTTTTTCTACTTTATAAATTCATTTTTTTTCACTAGCGTCTTAAGCTTATATAGTTTTATTTATATTTGATATTTTTTTGACAAGTTCTCTTTTAGAAAATATTAAATAAACATTCATTTAAAAAATATCGAACATATCATTAAGTGATTGTTAATTATGAATCGTTCGCTTTATAGGTTTTTCAGCCTTAGGTAAACTGATCTTTCTTGTCTCAAGACATGGAACAGATTTGATAGTTCAAATAGAAACACCATACATTAAGGCGAGGTTTTATAAGAATTTTAAGCTTACTAAAGAAATAGATGGCCCGATAAATTTTAAATTGTTATTTTAGATTAATTAAATATCTGATTGCGAATAAGGACTTTATAATTATTCCAAACTACTTTTACAACAGGAAAACTGCTAAACACTCATCGTGCATCAGGTAACATTCTAATCTTTGGCAATTAAATGACCAATTGAGAAGCTATTTTATCCATAGACATTTGATTTTTGAAACTGTATATCGTGCCAGTAAAGGCTTTAAAGTGTAATATTCTAACAATGCACGGATATAATGTTAGTTATAGAATTCATTTTGTTGATCTTGCTTCGCCTATGAAAATAGTTTGAAATTTTTTTCATTTCTATTAAACGCTAAAAAAGGAAATAACGTGAAATTCTATTTCTATTTAAATCCTCTGTTTTTAAGAATCAACTAAAATATGAAGAGGTTAGATTTGGGGAAAAAATGAACAATTTTGCTATTATGCATTTTTTCTATAAAATATTTTATGATGTTTATTTCATGATAGAAAATTAATATACAAAACTAACATTTAAAAAAAATTCAAATTATTCTAAAATTTTTTGAAATATTTTGGGCTCATAACATTATTAAAAATTATAATGAACTAATCAAACAATGTTTATTCCTATTCGTTATATTTTATTTAAAAGAATAAATACGATTTAAAAAAAATATTAAAATTCTAATTGTCAAATATCGTTTAAAATCAAATTTATTGAGTTTTTATATTGGTACGTTAGTTACTGTAATTTACACTGCGCCATTAAGGGTATTAAACCAATTTTCAAATTGTGTATCATGTCACACGTGGATATCCATATTATTTATTTATCTAATTTTCTTCTATTTTTTCTATTTAGTTTCATTAGGTAAATATACATATTTAAATATCATAACATTTTTATTCGTTAACGGTTTCCCAATTAGTTACACCCATAACTATTATATTTTCTCAATTTTAGATTGCAACTTTTTCTTCTGAATAAAAAAATATACTTCTTTTTTTTGAAATATAATATATAATATAATTCAGTAAACCAAGTTTTGGGACTCATTCTTTAATAATTTAATCTCCCCCAAAAATAGTAGTTATATTAAAATAGCAATCATTAGGGGCCAATTTTTTAAAATTATTTTTGTTCTCTCATTAAAAAACATATTTTAATAATGTTCTTGCCTATATATAATTCAATAAATGTTTAAAGGCTTAATACTGGGTAAAATTAACCTTTATTATTTCCTATAACTGTAACTAAGCCATCAACTGTTGTTTTTATCTAAACCAAGAGCTTCAACGGGCATATAATGGGCAACAATTTTTATTAACCATAACAAAACAAGTTAATAGAAATATAAAATGCCTATATATAAAATAAACTTAAAATCATAAAGCAAATATACAAGCATGATAATAAATAAAAAATTAATTAATTACTTCCATTACTGACAAATAATTTTTCTAAAAGAGGTGTTGTAAATGCCTTGTTTTGTTTGATAATTAATGGTTTAAATCTGAAAAAGATGAGAATTTATCGGTTTGATGAATTTTAAATTAAAACGGAGAAAATGCATATGATTCCGCAAATATTGAAACATTCTATTTTTTTAAAAAATATTTGTTGGAAAAAAAATTTCATTGTTTAATTGACTCTTAATTACGTGAGGTGGGGATAAATTTATTGGTTTCTATTCTTTAGTGCCATACTTTAATAATAAAAAGATTTATTAATTTTTTTCTTTGCATTGTCTTCACCTTAATATTGATTTAGATAGAATTTAATATTGATACAAGTTTTAGAAAAGGAATGAAGGAAAAGAAATAATCAACGTATCAAAAAATAGAAACAAATTCAATTTTACTTTTTATTATCAATATATAATCTTTTTTATTCATAAATTTTACATTATCTTTGTATAATTTAGAAAAATAAATGTATTTCATGTGTTTTAAATACATTTTAATTCTGTATGTGTTTTAATTATCAATTGATAAAAAGATAATTAATAATTTTTAAAAAATATTTAAAATGAAATCCATGTTTAATTCTTCAAAAATCATAAAAGACAAATGTTGATGAGGAAAAATTGCCTCAAAAGAAGATATGAATTTATGTAGCTTGTTATTTTGTTATTAAAATAACAAATTTTGAAAAAGATAATTTTTAGATAAGATCGTTTAGTTAAGATTTTTTTAAATATGATTAAATATTATACCAAAATCAATTTTGTTATAAATTTATAAAATATAAAAATATAATCAAAAAGTATTTAAAAATTTCGAAATCACGTCACTTTTAAATTAATATCAACGGTTTGCCTTACAGTATGGTCAGTTTTATCAGAGTTTTACTTTTGCGTAATAAATATTTCCTGCTAGCGGCGTGAGTTGGCGATATTTACTGAAAACTGGATGAAGTTCAAATGGGATCATTAAAATAGGATTAGATAGAATCTAGATTAGGATATTGGACGATTCTATCCGGCCAAATAGACATTAAGACACCTTATTAAGATGTACTTAACTTTTTATATAATACTAAATGTTAAAAAATATAAGCCCTCGTTTTATAAGTGCAAAAGATTATATAATATTTTTTATTATTTATATAAACAGGGAGTGATTGTAAATCTATAAGTAATGTTAACTTTATTAATGACTAAAGGCTTTCTTAAAATATTTAATTATCATTTATACAAACAGTCAGCCGTATTCGAGATTTAGGTAAATATTTTCAAAAATGCTTATGATTTGTGCTATGAAAAACTTAACCTTAAGATTAAAACAGCTTTGATTTTAGGCAAAAAAATTGATTATTTCTAATTAGACTTTTCAATAAACCTAAATCTAATTAATGTTTATAATAAAATTTGGATAAAGGTATTAGATAAAAATAGTCATGTCTAATGGTTCTTGACTAATTTAAATTATAATTATAATGATTTTATAGATAAAAAATTTTAAACATTATATAAAAGGCGAGCAATGTCCAAAATAGTTTTTCTTTAAATTTTTTAAATATTGTAAAATTAAATAGGGATCTGATAAAAGATGACCAATATCTAAAGACCACCATTTGATGAAAATACTTATTTCAATCATGTAGAGTTCTAAGTTAATTTATCTCATATACCCCCCCCCCCACCCTTCTCCTATTTTCCCCCTTTTACAATGGGTATGTCAAGCATTTGTAATGCCTGCCATAGAAATATAATCTTAACCCAAGCTATTTGTTTTTATAAACATGGGCCCAGATTAAAACCATGTATAAACTCTGGTAAACCCCCTTCAATTTTGTACAACAAAATTGAAACAACCTCCATTATAACTCAAAATTTTTATTCTGATTTTTATGATAATTTTTTAAAGTGGGAAAAACCACCAACCTTAATCCACCTAGCAGTTAAATCAAGGTCTTTAATTTCTAATTTTTTAACAACATCTATTGTTAATTCAAATTTAAATTCCCTTAAAGCTTGGGAGAATCTTTTAACTTTTCCTTTTAAAGTCTTAATTAAACCTACAGATAAAAATAAAAAAACTATTTTGCATGAATATATAAGATATAAAATAGACCATTTTTATGACTTAGAAATGGAAAATTACGTTCCTGATGTAAGGGCTACATCTGAATTTGCCCATAAATGTAAAATTATCTAAATAAAAATAGACCAAGGGGACGTATGTGGAGCTCTTAGCTAAATTATCTCAATAAAAATAGACCAAGGGTACGTATATGGAGCTCTTAGCTTCATCTAATGATAAATTGGCTCCATTTGATGAACATACTTTCACTTTATTAAAAGAATTGCACCCTCAAGCTTTTCCTGAAGATCTTTTAAAATCTAATTTAATCAAAATAGATAAGGAAGAACTAATTAAAACAGTTTTATCTTTTAATAAAAACTTTGCAGAGGGAATTGACGGTTTTGGCCCCTCTTATTTCCAATATTTAATTAACCCTAAAAATCCTTATCAAGATTCATTTGTAAATTCATTGGTAATACTTAGTGAAAATATATTGAACAATGATTTACCTAGTCAAGTTCACCAAATTCTTTTTGGCGCAAGATTAATTTTCTAACCCTGATGGTGGAATTCGGCCAATTGCAGTAGGGTCTATTTTTAGGAGACTATTAGCTAAAATAATCGTTGAGGGCATCAAACCTGATGCTTCAAAAATGCTCCAAAAACATCAATTAGGCTTTGGTAATAAATGGGGATGCGAAATAGCCGCTCACTCACTTCGCATATATATCGAAGATCCTCCTCCAGACGTCTTAGTCTGTAAGCATGATTTAAAAAATGCTTTTAATTCTTTATCCAGAAAAGTATTTTTGAACATTTTTTATGAAAAACTCTCAGTTTATGCAACATTTATTGAACAGCCTTATGGCTGTAGAACCCCTCTCAAATTCGGGAAATATACAATTTCATTCTGACGAAGGTAATCAACAAGGAGACCCTTTGGGCCCTCTGATCTTTAGTTTAGGTATACATAACCTAGTTCATTGT